TGCCATTTTTTAGGCTTATTGATTACTGAGCAATATCATGATACACAATGTTTATATGATAACACACGTAACACCATAAACCGTTTATTTATATGGACCAAATTTAAATAAATGATTTAATAATTTGAAAGTTAATTTTCACTTATGTGAAAATACACACAACCGCAAAAAGCTAGAGGGATATTTTTTCAAATTGCCTCTATTACTTGAAGAATCAGTTTTTTCTAAAAAAACTTTTTTTATAAAATTTTAGAATTTTGTGGGATAAAATAAAATAATTTTTATACAAAAATATTGTCGCTCGGTGGCCATGGTAAAACATCGATATTGTTGTCTGCCGAGAAGTCCAGTGCAATCCTATCTGTTTGAGGTCTGGCGTTGTCATTCATGTATAGGAAATTGGGACCCATAGCTGCCGCATACGGAATGACAACAGGTCCAAGTATCTGATCAACATATGAACTACCCGTTAAAAAGTTCTCCAACAAAATGAGATCAGTTCTGCCACCGATGCTTATTCCATTATTGTCCATTATTATTGCAGACCATTATTGTTCCTCCTCTGTAAGAGTGAACCTCCTGAACATTTTGAAGGCGAATCAAATTACCAGGCTCTCTCCAGACACGAACCCTTCTTGAATTAGGATGTATGCCAAACCAGAACTCATCCGTGAAAAGAACTGAAGCCCAATTTTCATTTCGCCAAATTAAATGTTCCTGTGTCCACTGACGTCGAGTATCTCGATTGCCCCAGGAAAAAGGTTGAACTATCAAAGGACGTCGACTGCGAAGGCCATTCTCATGTAAAAGTCTACGCACAGTATCATCCAAAATGACAATGCCATGAACTTGTTGCACCATTATTCCATTGCTCAGGTGCCGTAATATTGGGATTTCTCCGAGCATTAAGTTGCAGAATTCGGTCTTGTACTGGGTTGGTAATACGCCCACGTCCCCTGTGTCTTTCCGTCACATCACCCTCTTCTCCATATCGTGAGCGAAAACGTAATATCATGCTTTGTGAAGTACCCATTTCCCTCGCAACATCAGTTTGTCTCATACCACCGTCCAAAAGACCAACTCGCTCTAATCATTTCTTTTCGAGTTAAATGCCTACGCTGCATGGTTAATAATACACTGATCTTCAAAAATAAAATTCCTGAGTTGATTATCTTCGTTACAGGTACAAAAGGTACCATACATTTCAATTTGGTTTGCAAAAATACAAAAGCAAAATAGACGCACTTAGTAAAGGTAAACAATAAAGGTTGAAAGAATTCATAGATTTTCGCAGCTACAAAAATAAAAATATAGGCAAAAATTAAAATATCCCTAGACTCTGCGGTTGTGTTTATTTCCCCAATCCCCAATATGAATCCCAATCTATCCAACAAGTGAAGATCAGGACCTCGAAATTAGTGGTTTATTCAATTATACCTCGCTGATTGAAAGAATTATGAAGATACGCAACCTTATGGGCAAATTCGTGATAAGGCTAATTTCATATACCCGTGCTTTAATATCTTTTATCATAACACAGTGGAGGATACAGAGGGGGCCGTTGGGCCCCCCTTAAAAGTCTATAAATTGATTTAAATATTAGGCTTTGGGTTAAAAATGGTGTCCTAAAAGCATATTTACATGATTTTATTTGTCCCGCCCCAAAATAAATTCCCATCCGTCCCCATCATAACACAAAAAACCTGCAGCCGCCACCGGTATTTAAAATAAAAACTCACATTAAGAACAGTTATCGCCAATACTCAGTTCAGTTGGTTGGAAAATTTGACAATCGTACTTGTCGATATCGATAACCAAACGGAAGTCGTTCAATTCGTTAATGGATGCACTGTTTTTTTCCAGGATTTCCTTAAGGTCTTCGAAAGAACAAGAAGAGGGCAAACAGAGGGCAGTATACAACTCGTTCCTGGGTCCCTTCATTTTATCCATCGAATAAATCTAAAGAAATATTATAATTACATGATTCGCTAATATTTAATAACAGACTCTAATAATAAAAGTAATTGCGAAATCAACATTAGTTTCATATAATTACTGCATCTAATCATTTCAGATAAAACTATTGTGATTAAGAGAAAAAATAATGATTGTTATTGTGTTTTTTAATCAAATAACTTTTTTCTGCACTTTATGCTTTATTAACTTTATACAGGACGTAAACAATAATAATATATACTATATTATATCTACCTAATTATGAGAATTATTCACGCTTTATTATAAATAGAGTACTACTATATTTTTTACTGAATTTTAATATCTATCAGGAGATTAAGTATTTTAATGCAGTACTCCTTAATTATAAATAAATTTATTTTTATTAATTTTAGAGTTTCCCGAATAAAATTTGGATCATCCTGTATAATATTAATTATATGCTACATTCATTATGTTAGGTCATGTATCTACAAATTACGCAGTAAAACAATGTTGTCTAATGTCTTCATTTTTATAAAAATACCGCATTTATTGAAACTGATATAAGTGAAGTTTTTACGTTAATTGGATATTGTTATGTTAGATTACGTAGAAGTTTATATTATAACAATTTTACCATTCAGCTGTAGAAAAAATACTGACTTGTTTTTTCTATGAGATTTTTCTCGCGAAAAAAAATAAAAAAATACATTTTATATTTTCTTTCGTCTCTTGTATTTATTACATGACAGAATTAGTTTAGTAAGTCTTCTAAAGCGGTCACTACACTATTCGCGAAATAGGCCGAAGTAGATCAGAGTCGAATAATAGTGAAGAGGGTGATTGCGTCTTTCTTCGTCTAATGAAAATAAGATGAGATGAGGAAAAGTTAGGGGAGGAAATACGAAATATCTCTCTTATTCGGTATTCGACCTTGACCTACTTCGGGTTATTTCGCGAATAGTGTAGAGGCAGTTTAAAATGTTTGCCTTTAAGTTTTGATACGAGTATAAAATTCATATTCCTCCATACTGAAATTGGAATAAAGCCTCTCTACGCATCTACTCACCGGCACTCATCAGCCTCACTACTCACCGGCACGAAAAACAGGCATCTTAAAATTTTGATGTATTTTATTACAGGGTCGCATATACGGGAGGGGTAATGGGGGTAATTACCCCTCCCAGAGAGATATTTATAAATAAGATAAAATGTGGTATAAAATAAAATTGTTACAAAAGAAATTAATAATACCAATCAAAATAGAAAATCCAGACCAATTCAGGTTTATTTTCTTCCAGTCAGAATACCTTTTAGCGGAAATTAGTATATGCTTTTGGTCCCAATCAAGAAACCTAAGAAATAGTGTTTATGATTTGTGTATGTCTCTGTTATTAAAAAAATAATAATATCTGTCTGTTGGGCAGTTACTCTAGCAGAGATGTCGGAACAGGAAATAAAGGCCTCCATAAAACAACTTAAAAACTACAAATCGGCTGGCTGTGACGCGATTCCAGCGGAAATCTATAAGTGTGCAAGCAAAGAACTTATTGGTCATCTTAAGGCTCTCTTCGATGTCATATGGGAAAGCGGAGAGGTATCTCAGGACTTTCGCAACGCGAATATAGTAAATATATTTAAGAACAAAGGAAGTGCATCAGATTGCGGAAACTACCGAGGAATTTCACTACTGGTTATCGGAGGTAAAGTTCTCGCAAAAATTATGTCAAACCGCCTTCACCCACATATAGAAAAAATCCTCCCAGAATCGCAAACGGGCTTTCGCACTAACCGCGGTACCGTTGATTCCATATTCTCCGTCCGCCAACTCCAGGAAAAAGTAAAGGAACAGCAGAGTAAACTTTATGTTGCATTCATCGACCTAACGAAAGCCTTCGACGAGTGCCCAACAAATTTCTTAGTGTGTGTAAAAGCCTCCATAACAACAACAAGTCGAGAGTGTCACATCATGGATCACTGAGCGATCCCTTCCTGACAAATACAGGAGTTAGGCAGGGATGTGTCCTAGCTCCTCTCCTATTCAACATATTCATGGCAGCGCTCTCTATTATAGTTGATAGCAAACTGCAGGAAAGAAGAATGGGTGTTAGATACAGGTATGACGGAGGTCTGTTCAACATAAAAAGACTCAGGGCAAAAATACGAATAAAATTCATCACAGAACTCCAATACGCTGATGACTGCGCTCTAGTTGCAAATACGTTACAGCAATTACAGGAAATGCTGAACACATATACCTGGGCATACGAGACTTTGGGCCTTAAACTGAACATCGATAAAACAAAAATCATGTGCACTCCCCAGGGAAATCATAACAGTGCTATAAAAATCGGAGAACTATTGGAATATGTATCGGAATTTAATTACCTCGGCAGCTTGATTTCGGAAAAGGCAAATATCGACTCTGAAATTCAGCACAGAATCAGCAGCGCCTCAAGAGCATTCTGGAAATTAAAAGACAGGGTTTTCTACAATCATGACTTGAGCACAAAAACAAAACTTGCAGTGTATCGAGCAGTAATAATCCCCACCATGTTATATGGAAGCGAAACCTGGGTGCCGTACCGCCGGCACACGAGCGCATTAAACAAGTTGCAACAGAGATACCTTAGACAACTTTTAAGAATCAAATGGTACCACCATGTCTCAAATGTATCAGTCCTTAAAAAAGCAAGCTGAGAGAGTGCTGAAGTCATGATTACTAAATCTCGCTTAAGATGGGCTGGCCACGTATGCAGGATGCAAGAAAACCGCCTACCGAAATCTCTTCTTTACGGTGAACTTGTAGAGGGTAAGAGGAAACCGGGTGGACAACTCAAAGATACAAGGATGCTGTTCACGAAAACTTAAAGGGGATAAGTATGCAGCATCAGTGGAGGGAAAACAGCGCACAATAGAGCGCAATGGAGGAGAGTTGTAAATTCAGTTAATAGGGACAACCGAAAAGTTGAGAGGCAACAAAGTAATGAGATTTTGAATGTCCGGAGTGCGGAAGAGAGATAACATCACGTATCGGGCTTTTCAGTCACAGAAAAGCTCATGACAGGAAACGCCCTGCCAAAGAATAATATAGTTAGTAGAATTATCTTTGGCCCTGAGTAACCATCTTTTGATGCGTGTCAAATACTCGTTAGCGAGTAATGGCAGTAGTAGTAGTAGTAGCAGTACTAGCAGAGATAGTATTAAGTCTAAAAGTTGTACCCGCAATAGTTGCTTTAATTGATGATGACAGAGATCAAATTTATGTCGCTAACAGATTTAGATGTGCACCAAGTATAATGCAGTCGCATCCTCGAGACAAGTATACTATATATGCTAGACGTCCAGGAACTTTCGTATGAGACTTCGAATGGAGACGATCAACTTATTGTAAGTTTATCGCCAAAAAAACGCCGTTTGTCAGCTTTTAAGTTTATAATGAATTGCGCCTAAGGAACGTACATGTAAGTGAACGGATTGTAAGAAGAAAATATACTGTAAGTAATAAATACTACAACCTAAACGAAGCAAATTTTATGTCAAGAAGGCCTGAATCGAGATCACGACTTACTAGATCTGTTGACTAGGACCAAAA